CTAATTATGCTGTAAGTTTGAACAATTTTATCTATCAAAGGAATACAAATGTGAATTTATTTTTTGGGGGTGAGATATAGAAACAGAATTGATTTTTCCCTTAGACACACTGAATGCCTTTATTTAAATTTTTAAAAAACATTTTTATTGATATATAATAGTTGTACATATTTTGCAGGTACATGTGATATTTTGATCCCTGTATACAATGTGTAATGATCCAATCAGGGTAACTGGGATATCTATCACCTCAAACATTTATCTTTTTTGTTTATTAAGTTCTTTTATCTTCCTCCAATATTAGATGAACACAACTAGTTGCTGCTTAGTGGAGAGGTCATCACTCAGAAAATAATTAAAGACCATAGAGGAAGGGATCTCTCACACTTTGGAGAACAAAATGCATCAGCAACTGAGGTTAAAAAAAAAAAAAATTACAAGTGAACTTTATACTGAAAACGGCAAGTTAAGAATTTGTCAGTAACTCTATTTCTCAATCTCATCAGCCCACAGGAGGCAAACACAGGACTGTCAGGATGTCCATGGATCTTGACAGGAGGCCATCTGCTTCCAGCATCACTCAGGAAAGAACTTCTTTCATGGTAAAGAGGGTAGAGGGCCACCTAATGGCTTTCTATAGGAAATACAATCATACGGTTTTCATGCCACCATCTGTCCTTACTGATAAGAGCTCCAAGAGTATGTCTCTGAACAATGTAGAATTGATATTTTACATTTCTCGAGTAGAACAATTTTGTACTTACTATTTCTAATACTTTATCTGCAGATACTTTTGAATTTCTACAAATGCACTCATGTCACAAGTAATAATGATTTTAATTTTTCCTTCCCAATTCTCATATTTTATTTTTCTTGTGTTACTGTACTGGTTAGAGCTTCGAGCACAATGCTGAGTAGAAGTGACAGTGGATCTCTGTCTTGTTCCCAAACTCAAACTTCTAACATTCTACCATTAAGAAAGTGGTTTTCTGTTGACTTTATCAGTGTTCAAGAAGTTTCTCTTTCTAGTTTAAGAAGTTTTAAAAAAATGAATGGGTATTAAATTTTATCAAATGCTTTATCTCCTCCGTTGATTAAGATGATCACAGTATTCTCCTTTTTTTTTTTTGAGATGGAGTCTTGCACTGTCGCCCAGGCTGGAGCGCAGTGGTGTGATCTCGGCTCACTGCAAGCTCTGCCTCCCGGGTTCATGCCACTCTCCTGCCTCAGCCTCCTGAGTAGCTGGGATTACAGGCACCTACCACCGCACTCAGCTAAATTTTTTGTATTTTTAGTAGAGACGGGGTTTCACCATATTAGCCAGGATGGTCTCGATCTCCTGACCTCATGATCTGCCCACCTCAGCCTCCCAAAGTGCTGGGATTATAGGTGTGAGCCACTGCACCTGGCCTAAAAAGGTTATGTTACCAGTGAAGCCACCTGGGGCCTAGAGTTTTCACTATGACAAAACTTAAATTAGTATTGTTTTTAAAAATGGATACAGAACTATTCAGGCTTCTTACTTCTTCTGTGTCAATTTTGGCAAGTTGCATATTTTTCTTTTAATGGTCCCATTCCATCTGTTTCATTTTCAAACTCATTCACATAAAGTTGTTCATCAAATATCCTTCTGGAGGAAAAAAATGTCTGCGGGATTTGGAGGACTGCCCCCCTTTTTATTTCTTACATTGGCTACATATTCCTTCTCTCTTTTTTCCTGGTTAATCTTGCCAGGGGTTTGTCAATATTATTCTTACTCTTTTCAAAGATCCAATTCACAGTTTTTAAGATCCTCTCTACTGTACTTCTTCCCTTAGATAATTAATTTTTGCTCTTATTTATATTTTTCTTTCTTCTACTTCTTTAGGTTTAATTAGCAGTTCTTTTTCTGAGTTACTGAGAGGAATGTTTTTTCTTTTCTAATATTGCATTTAAAGCAGTGATTTTCAACCTTAGTTGCACACTGGAATCACCTGGAGAGTTTTCAAATGTTTGGAGTGCACCCCTAGAGGTTCTGAGTCAAATGGTCTGAAAAGTGGCTTGGATATCAAAAGCTCCCCAAGTGATTCTAGGTGCAGCTAAGATTGAGAACCACGGATTTAAAGCTATAACCTCTAAGTACAACTTTAATTGCATCCCACAAGTTTTCAATATTTTCTTCATCAACTAAATCATCTTAAAATTTATGTTCTGATTTAATTTATATACATTCAGAGTGCGGTGGTTCATGCCTGTAATCTCAGCACTTTGGGAGGCTGAGGTGGGTGGATCACTTGAGGTCAGGAGATCAAGATCAGCCTGGCCAACATGATGAAACCCCGTCTCTACTAAAAATACAAAAATTAGCCATGCATGGTGGCACGTGCCTGTAATCTCAGTTACTTGGGAGGCTGAGGCAGGAGAACTGCTTGAATCTAGGAGGCGGAGGTTGCAGTGAGCCAAGATCATGACACTGCACTCTAGCCTGGGCGACAGAGAGAGACTCAGTTTCAAAAAACAGAAATAATAATTTATATGCATTTCCAAAACAGCAAATGCAATGCATGGTTTGAGAAGTCAGGTAAATGGTACCTTTGGGGAAGAGGCAGGGGGTTATGAGTGCGGGGAAACACAAGAGGAACTTCTAAAGTATTGGTTAATATTAACTCATGTTTTGAGTGAACAAGAGAATGGAACAGATGGAAAACTATATACAACTTGCCAAAACTGACATAGAAGAAATAAGGAGCCTGAAATGTTCTGGGTGAACAAGAGATAATATTACTAATACTCTAGACATGTTCAATTTGTGATAATTCACTGAGCTACACACATAGGATCTGTAAATGTTTCTGTAACTTTATATTACACTTAAATATACTTTTTTAAGAGAGAAAACGGATCCCATACAAAGAGTGGGAATTATAACAGCACTAGTCTTCTCAATATTATACTGGACGCTAGAAAAAACAGTATAATGTCTTTTTTTTTTTTTTTTTTTTTTTTTTTTTGAGACGGAGTCTCGCTCTGTCGCCCAGGCTGGAGTGCAGTGGCCGGATCTCAGCTCACTGCAAGCTCCGCCTCCTGGGTTCACGCCATTCTCCTGCCTCAGCCTCCGGAGTAGCTGGGACTACAGGCGCCCGCCACCTCGCCCGGCTAATTTTTTGTATTTTTTAGTAGAGACGGGGTTTCACCGTGTTGGCCAGCATGGTCTCGATCTCCTGACCTCATGATCCACCCATCTTGGCCTCCCAAAGTGCTGGGATTACAGGCTTGAGCCACCGCGCCCGGCCTATGTCTTCTAAATTCTAATGGAAAATGATTTTGAACCTAGAATTCCGTAGTCGGACTTTTTTTTTTTTTTTTGATACAGGGTCTCACTCTGTCACCCAGGATGGAGTGCAGTGGTGCAATCTCCACTCACTGCAACCTCCGCCTCCTAGGCTCAAGCCATTCCCCTGCCTCAGCCTCCTTATTAGCTGGGACTACAGACTTGTACCACCAACCCAGCTAATTTTTGTATTTTTTGTAGAGACAGGGTTTTGCCATGTTGTCCAGGCTGGTCTCAAACTCCTGAGCTCAAGTGACCCACCCACTTCAGCCTCCCAAAGTGCTAGAAATACAGGTGTGAGCCATAGCACCTGCCCCCAGAAATTCAATCAAATTGTAAGGATAAAATAAAGATATTTTCAGTCAGGAGAGCACACAGTAAAGTTATCTCCCAGGCATCTTTTCTCATAAATCTGGAGAATGTGCTCCAGTAAAGAGGGAATGGATAGGAAGATGAAGACATGGGATCTGGGAAACAAAGACTTCAATATAGGAGGAAGGCAAAGGAAGTTTCCAAATGACAGTTGGGCAGCAGGCCCCAGGAACAAGTGAACTTGGGGGCAGGAGGCGGAAGGGTTCTAGGGTGGGCAACTCCAAAAGAAATTCAAACCAAGAGAACACCTTCCTGTGTGTGACCATTGTGAAATTTCTCAGTTCTGTCATAGTACAGTGATACTTTATTTTATTTTATTTTTTACTGTTCTAAAGGTACATCGGCAAGAGTATAGTGATAAATCAGGAGTAGACACATAGAAAAATCAAACAATTAAAAAACCAAAACATGGAAAATACTACATGTAGGATAAGCAAAGAATGATCCTTCTACCCAAAAAATGTGGTAGTGTAATCACTGTTCAATGCAGCTGTAAATAAGAGTTTTCTGGCCATAACATAAATAGGGATCACTGATTTAGCCATGCATTGTGATACAATGGTATTAAATGAAAGAGAAGAAGGGGCTTTTGTATGCTTTTGTGGTATGAGGGGAGATGCTAGGGGAGGCCATGTAACACAGTATATTCTCATCCTCTACAGAAGGACAAAAGAGAAAACTGAAAAACCAAGTGTAAACACTGAGAAGTAAAAAACTAAAACAATTTAAATTGCGGGACATGGGGTGGGGAAGGTGCAAGGCAGGCTATTGCTGCTTTCTGTTTTAAAAACTGCAGCACTTTTTTTGTCTTTTTCAATTATTCGTACATAGTATTACCATAAAGATAAAATTAAACTAAGAAAAAATCTATGGAAATAAAAGAGAAAATCCCAGGGCACTAAAAAATCACTTTCAGCTTTAAAACTTTGGATAATCACCAGAATCATCTCTTGAACAAGAATAAGCATATATGTAGCTCACATCAGTAACCATTATTAATTAAATGTTGTTTTAGTCCCCAATTCCCCCATATGAAGAGTCAAATTATCTATAGGATACATGCAGAATTAATACAGGATACATGCAAAGCCCCCCGCCGGAAGCCAGAACATACAGAACAAATGTTTTCACTTTATCATGCTAGACTGAGTTTATATTATTGTAACTGACATCTAAATTTTCAGGAACACATATGAAGTAAATTTAATCTGTGGTGGAAACACAGGATTTTTCTTTTATCTTTTAGGAGCTGATACTCTATTAATGTATCTAGCGCCTAAATCAAAAGAACAGAGAGAGTCTGTATAAGCAAAATTACCTGAAGAAAGTCACGAAGAACTGTACCAGGTCCATAAAATTGCTGTGCTGGGAGAAGGCAATCTGTGACAGAAAAACAGATAGTGTGATTATGCAGGTCATGAAACCACCACGGATTCAGGCTTCTCATTTCAAGAGTTAAGCTGAAAACAGAGTTTACATTTTAAAGAAGTTAAGGAAACTTTTTTCACTTAAGGAAAAGTACCTTACCCTTTTAGTTTTCTTGTTTAGTTGCCAGCCCCATAGCAATATGCTAAGGCTTTAGCACGGCCTCCTGCAACCCCCTCTGAGCTTCATACCAGTTCTGAGGTTCTCTTCGTTTGACCCTGGAGACCCTCGCACGCCTCCATGAAGCCTGGCGCTCCCGCCCTGCGCCTCCACCCACACAAAGCTCTCCTTGTTTGCCTCAGTACCGATTCATGGCTCTGCCTCCAGGTGGGCAGCCCCATTCTGTGCTCTTCATTCTGTCAACATTTATGTACTCAGTGTGTACTGACTGCAAGATATTGTCCTTTTACAAAAAATTGTGCCTCACATTTTGCTACACTGAACATCATCTGACAATACGTCATCAGAGCTTAAATAATTTTATTATACAGTTAATAGTCTTCATAGCAAGAACATAAAAATACAACATATTTCATCAACTCTAAAATAACATTGGCTGAAAAAGGCATTATTCTGTGTATTATTTAGGAAAAACACTGTCAATTTAACTATGACATAATAATGCTTTTTAAATCACTGACCATAAGACACATCGTGATTTCAGGGATATTAGTCCACGAAAAAATGCATACCTCTGAATTGATAAAACACGAGAATTGCATCCTTACTATCACCTACAATATACATGCTACTAGCCAGATGTTGTGGTGCCTTGCCTGCTTTTTTTAGGGAACTCAGCTCTGTTTGGAGAGACAATGGTACTATCAATGAAACAATCACCGACCAAGGTGACAATCCCAGTACAGACAATTTGCATGACAAATACAGGAAGGTAAATGACCAGGATCTGCTTTCCTAGTCCCACACAACCCCAACCCTTGCACTGTTTTTAGAGCCAGACTCACAGGGGTCAGAAAAGAGACTTCCACTGTTTGCTTTCTTGATGGCCGTATTTTCTTTTTGACATTCCATAAACAAATAAGTTCCAACACTACTCAAGCCATAGTACATTATGGGGCTTGGAATTTGAAGCTTTTGTGTCCTCCCTCTGGCCACCATTTATAATAGGAAATACAAAGTTACATCAATTTCATATAATAAACAGAAACCCACTTTCTTTTCTTGTCCTTCATTTATCACAATAACCATTTCCAGCTCCTCGAGAGAAGGAAAGCTGCGGAATATGAGCCATGGTCCTCACATAAAAGTTTTAAATAAGATTGGAGGACAATTATATAAACAAGGTCAACTGGAGGACAATTATATAAACAATGAAGAATCCAAGTTATAACACATAAAGAGAGAGAAGGAAACAGATTAGAGAACACCCCAGCCCTGTCTGGATTTCAGTCTTTTAAAACGTGTGTCCTTAGTGTTTACACTTAAAGAATCCATGAGATACTTTTACTCCCTGCTAGATGCCAAAAACCACAGGATGCTAATTGCACTGTCTGAGGACCTATCTGGTGTTCATGTGCCACACAACACTCCTCAGGGCAGCCCCCGCCTTTCCCCACATTGGATGCTAATGGTTATTAGCCTGATTTCTTGCTGAAGCAGGACAACTCCATGTTCATGTCCAAATTATAATCATAAAGAACCTCATATAAAACAGCTGCCAGTATGGCTGGTACCCAAGACTCTAAAGGGGTCCTCTTATGTTGAATCTTTATCATCTAAGTCTCCATAGTTACAAGATTGTGTGAGGAGGCAAAACTCGTAAGATGAAAATGTTTACGAATGCACTGACCACTTAGAAGCATCTAACTCTGCTGAACACCCCACCCACTGTTGTCAGTCTTTGTTGGTCAATCTTTGACTGATAAGGTGATGAACTTACTGTTTCAAACTGAACACTTCTGAAAATGAAGGGGAGTGCTGTTAAAAATTACACTAGGTAACTAAAAATTACTCAATGTAAAAAGCATAAACTTGATAACAAGCATAAATTGGGCTTTTGCTACTCACAGTCATACAACGCAAACCAACTGTAAAATCAATTTTGCAAAAGACAAGATTTTAGTGGAAGTGCTGTTGGAGAACTGCTCACACAAAACCATTGGCAAAGGAAGACTTGGCAGATTTAGCCCTTCAGTTATCAACTGAAGAAGGGATAAAGGATGAAGGCATAGGAAGTGTTTCATAATTCTCTGAACGAGATTAAGAGAGGACTTTGGGAAAACTGAGGAGTTTCCTGGCTGTTGCTTTTTACATCCTGCTGTGAAATCAGTCTCAAGTGAAGGACTCCATGATGCAGCTATCTGATTTCTGGGCACCTTGTGCACAACTGAAGCCACACCCCCATCTCTTTATCTTGCTCTATTTAATTCATAGCCCGTATCTGCACGCTTACTTATAGCAAATAAGATCTGTGAGGATTGAGGACAGAGACTTCCCCTTATCCCCACTGACCATATATCTCCAGTGCCTAAAGCAGCCACTGATACATTAATTGGCACTTAATAAGCATTTGCTGAATAAATGCCAATACGTTAACAAGAAAAATAATGATCTGTCTCATAGAACTCAGTAAGATCTGATTGATTTTTTTTTCTTTTATGAATTTGGCTCATGAAGCAGGATCATACCTGCTTCGTGATTGTAACTATAAATTTTGTTAACTCTAAAATTATTTTCCCATACTTTTTTGTTTCATTTTTAAAGACAATATCACAATCAAATCTTTCTTTCATAATTTATTATGGAAATGATGAAATGGATTTGGGGCCCTTTCTGATACTGAAGGTAACGAAAATTTCCTATATAAAAATCTATTTTAATATAAAGAAGAAATTCTAATTATATTTTATAAATAAAACTCATAATGTCATTCTTCTACATTTCCAAACAGTAGACACCATACTCCACACTCCAAGAAACCTAGAATTCACGTCCTAATACTTCCACAACCCAATTCCAACTCCACTTTCATCACTATGTCTAAGGTGTATCTGCCCCATGGGCCTTCCGGAATGTGTTCATCAATTCTGAAAAACTCTGAACTCGGAAGCTCAGTGAGCCCCAGGGTTTGGGGTAAGATATTATGGACCTGCACTTCCTCAACCACTAATGTTGCGCTTCAGCCAAAAGTGCTTCTGCTCACTACATTACTATACCTGACAGCAGACGGTCACCAGAGAGCCTCCCTGCCTGTGTGCATGGGGGTCCTCCCTGTCTTTCCTGGCTCAGCACATCACTGCCTCCCTTTTTCAGCACCCCTGGCCCCACTGGAAACTCTGGCAGGCTCTCCTCTACGCTCCCTCACCACTGATCTGCTTCCCTCTCAGGGCGGGTGATAATCACAGTCTATACAGGGGTGTCCAATCTTTTTGGCTTCCCTAGGCCACTGTGGAAGAATTGTCTTTGGCCACACATAAAATATACTAATCCTAACGATAGTGCTGATGAGCTTAAAAAAAAAATTTAAAAGCCCTCATATTTTAAGAAAGTTTATGAATTGTGTTGGGCTGCATTTAAAGCCGTCCCGGGCTGCATGTAGCCCGCGGGCCATGGGTTGGACAAACTTGGTTTACCATATACCATGGCTGTGTACAGATAGATATCCTGAGAAGAGGATTCCTGCAATCTTCTGTCTACGAAAATACCGATTCCTAACTTTTAAATTACTGTTGTAGAAGAATGAATGAAAAGGTAACTCCCTACCTCCCATACAAGAGCAGATATACTTTTGTATTCCAAGAACTAGGCCATGGCTCTCAAACTCTGGATAGCTTACAACAAAGTCAGAATCCCAGGCCCTATCCCTATCTCTATATCTTTAAGCTCCTCAAGTGATTCTGATACTAGTCTCCATAGGCCACACTTCAGGAAACTCTGAAGTAAGAAATTATTAAACATCAGACTGGACGTAGTGGCTCACGCCTGTAATTCCAGTACTTTGGGAGGCTGAGGTGGGTGGATCACTTGAGGTCAGGAGGTCGAGACCAGCTTGGCTAACATGGCAAAACCCTGTGTCTACTAAAAATACAAAAATTAGTTGGAGTGGTGATGTGCACCTGTGATCCCAGCTACTTGGGGGGCTGAGGCACAAGAATTGCTCAAACCCAGGAGGCGGAGAGGTTGCGGTAACCCAAGATCGCACCACTGCACTCCAGCCTGGGCAACAGAGCGAGGCTGTCTCAAAACAAAACAAAACTCCTCCTGTGCTCCTTTCCCTAGACAATTTCTTTAGCATTTCAGGAACTGCATTGAAAAAAAAAATATTCTCACCTTTACTTGGAAGGTTAAAGCCCCATAATTAGTTTGGCTCTTTTGGGGAGTGGGAAGGAGATGGGGAAGGATAAGGGTGAAGGAAGACAGGACAATGCTTTGAAACAAAAGGAGAGGCCGGACTGAAACCTGGAGGCAGGGAAAGGGAGGGAATGGAGGGGAAGTTTCACATTCTGAAAGTGCCTGGGAATGTGAGGTGTCCTTGTGGCAGGCTAGGGAGGCTCTGGAGCTTAAGTGTCATTCTATGTCCAAGCCTGTGCCACACGAGAGTGAGGATGCTGCCCTCAAGAGTGAGGGGCCAGGGAATCGGGCACAGCAGTCAGCGACTGAAGATCAGACCAGGGGGCCTTCCCCAACCTCTGAGCTCAGTTCAGCCCTGAGGTTTCTGTATGTTCCTGAGGGAAGAGAATAGGTCTGTGCCAAAACAGGCTGAGAATGAATTTCTAATTAAGTACAGTGGGTAGAACCTGAGTCCAAGATTACCATAAAAATAAGGAAGTATGGCATTTCTTATATTCCACTACCACATAACAATGTGATATTTTTGCATCTACTATGTGCCATCCACAAAGTAGGTACTCAAAAGCTTGAATAAATGGACGAATGAATGAATACTGAACGACTAGGAAAAGTCACTGCTTAATCAGAAAATTTGAAAAGAGAGA